ATTTTTTAAAAAGCCGAGAGCATTTTAAGAATATGTAGAGAGAAGCAATAGCTGATTGAAAGTGACATAAACAAGAAAAAATGTAATGACACTTAAATCTATGTCACACTCCATTAAATGTACCAAACAGTGGGATACAACCCTGGAGCTAAACATACTTTCAGTTTAGGAATCATGGCTGAAAGGTCCCTATTTTGATCTTGAAAAGTAATTATTACTTTTGCTGTTTTCTTGCAGCATCGTCTCAAAAAAAGTTGAAATAAAGGGGAATTCTTGTGTTTACCATTGGTCTCAGAATCAGTTTAATGGTGATATCCATTGAAACTCTTTTCAAATTCCTCTAGGAAAGTTATCTTTCACAGCATAAATTCTGGAGCATGCAAAAGTCTATCAAGAGCTGAAAATTTAGTTTACTTTTTTAAAAAATATTTTTTTTAAATTTTTCTCCAAGGTTGAAATGCAAAATAGAAAGAAGAAGAAAAACATTAACTACCAGACCAAACAAGACATAGAAAAAGCATTTTAAAATACGGGTACAACAAATAACAAATATATTATTACTAATAACGTTAAACATAAAATGTCTACCCTGATTGAATGCTGAAAAAAATAACTCAGATATCTGATGCCTTCTCTCCCTGTTGCATAACAAAGCTACAAGTAGTTCTAAACTTTCCCATCTATAATTACTAACAATGCTAGGTTACGTGAAAAGAAATCTACCATTGTAGAAATCTATTGTCTATCAATCAAGTCGACCCACCATCTATTCACTATAAAAAGAAACAGATAACAGGTAACCCCCCCAAACAAGACTCATCTTCAGAGCCCTCTGTTAACAGTCTGTTATTGTATTTAACACAAGTTCACAAACGGCTTCCAAAATTTCAGAGTTTTCTTAGGGTATTAGTGACAGAGTTTGATGATCCAGTTCTGTGCAGATTGTCACCGACTATGATCCAGCTCGCTAGCCAAATTAGGGCCATCTGTTACTATATTATAATTATACTGAATTTTGAGCTGTTTTTCCCCTTTCTAGTAGCTAATGAAATAGTCGACCCATGAAAGATTCTGCGATAATAGATATTTCGTTTTTAAGGTGCCAGTAGACTGTTCGTTCAGAAAAACAAGCCAAGCTGACACTGGACCCAGGCTGGTCCAGCTCTGAAAAAGTTGGCCAGTTGGCATCGGTGATCTAAATCAGAGGTCCCCCAAACTTGGCAGTATTAAGAATGGTGGATTTGAGTCCCAGAATTGTTCAATCAGCATGGCTAGCTGGGGAATTCTGGGAGTTGAAGTCCACAAGTCTTTCAGTCGCCAAGTCTGGAGACCCCTGAAGGATGCCTCATCAGCAGAAACTAACCCACAAGTACTGCAGATTAGATTCAAACGAAGGCCAGAGTGGATAACATTGCATTTTTAACATGACTCCCCTACTTAGGAGAAGTGGTGAGAAGCTCTCAAAGCTTGCGTTCTTGACAAGGACATGTCTTAAAATTACATGATTCCGTGTGGTTTAATACAGGCCATCATGGCTCAGCTTCCTCAGGAAGAGAAGGCGAAAATAGCTGAGCAGGTAGAGATATTCCATCAAGAAAAGAGCAAGCTGGACGCTGAGGTGGCCAAATGGGACGACAGCGGGAATGACATCATCGTCCTGGCCAAACAGATGTGCATGATCATGATGGAGATGACGGACTTCACCAGGTAGGTCGGTCAGTGTCGTTTGTCCCTGCGAGGGTTGTCTAGGGGGATTCTCACTCACCCAGATCATGGTTGTCCCAAGGGCGCTGTTCAAAAGTCAACTGGACTTTCCTGGTTTTTTTCTACTAAAGAATTGAGATGCAAAACTTCTTCAAGAAGAACTGAAGAAGCTTCTTGGATAAGAAGTAAAATGTTTTCAGAGAAAACAAAATCAAGAAAGCCCAGTTGCCTTTTGAGCAGAACCTTTTGGGCATCCTTGTGAGGTTTGTTCAGAAGGAAACAATTCATCCCCAAGATAGAAAACATTGAAGGAAAAAAAATCTGTGTCAAATCAAGATCAGCTTGCATTCTCTTTGTTAGAGTTTGCAAAAGCCACACAGGAGTACTTACCACCACTCTTTTTTTCACAATTTTTTTAAAATTCTATTTCCAAAGTTAAAATACAAAAAAGAATAAGGAAATAAATTAATCACCATCAAAATAGTAAAAATGAAAAAAGTATTTTCCCAGCAGTCTTAATCCAAAACCTTCTCCCATGATCTGAAGGTCCTAAGTAGGGTTGTTGTTGTTTTCAATTGTTGCTATATTCACATTGGTTTTGTGTGAACAATCCTACTAGCCCCAACTGCAGTGTAAAGTGACACTCAAGGTGGGAACTAACTACCTGGGAGTCTTGGCAGGATGGAAAAACTAGGTAGCTCTTAGCCCTCTGCCGTAATTCCTCCTCAAGTTTCTTGATGAGATCATTTGGAATAATATTAGGGGGGAAAATGCAGAGCTGATTGTAACATTGATGAACCACAAGAGAAAGAATGGTGCAGGGATGTTACTAAGGGTACCTGGGATGAGTAGCACAAGGGGTGATGTGTTGTGTTGCAAAAAATACAACTTACTGGTTTATACCAGACATTGTGACGGCAATACAGAAATGCTTTATCTGTGTGGTATCGAGACTCATGTTGTGCCTTCTTGGCATCATCTTGGCTTGTGACAGATCAGGGGTTCTGCAGGCCAGGATATGTTAACAATAAATCAACACCATAATTATCATTTGTTATTGTTGTTAATATGCCTCATCATCATGACTTGTTTTGGAACATACCTGGGGGAGAGGAGGCTTAGGTGCCAGACTAGAAACAAGGAGACAGGGAGTTCTAATCCTGCCTTAGACATGAAAGCCAGATGGTGACTTTGGGACAAACACCAAGAGGTGATGAATTCTAGTCAGGGGTGGGATTCTATCGGTTCAGACCAGTTCAGGCGAAGCGGATGTTAAATTTGCATCTGGTTTGCTAAACCGGTATTTGAACCAACCGGCTGGCCCCGCCCACCCCTCCCCTCCCCTCCCCTCCCCTCCCAGGGGTCTCCACACGGCCCATTTTTGATGCAGGTAAGTGCAGGGTCCACACAGAGGCTCAGGGAGGGGGGGGAACGGGTCTCCGGGAAGTCCGGAAAAGGGGCTGTTTCTGGCTTCCGGAGGGCCTCCAGACCCCGGGGAAGGCGAAAAATGGCCCTCCCGGAAGTCCCGGTAGGCCACGCCCACCATGGCCACGCCCACCCAGCAACTGGGCAACAAACCGGTTGCTGGGATTTTTGAATCCCCCTCCTGGTGCTAGTGCCATCTTAGGCACGAAAGCCAACTTGGTGGCAATCACCAGGAGACCGGGAGTTCTAGTCCCTCCTTAGGCCCGAAAGCCGCCGGCCGGGTGACGTCAGGCCGGTCCCTCTCTTTCAGCCCAAGCCACCTCACAGGGTTGTTTTAGGGAAGGTGGGAGGCGGAAAGAGGGATGTGTGTGTTCATCACCTTGAGCTATAATTATAAAATATTAATGGTGTAATAATAAAAATCTAATAAACGAACAAGGCAAACAGCCAGACGAGTAATTACAAAAACAAATAAATAATTTTTAAAAAATCTGAAGCTCATCCAGCATTTTAACAAACCTCCCTGATAATGTTCAACTTTGTGCAAGTGTCAAGCTGCCTTCTTTGATGTCCCCGCTGAACTCTGACCCATTTCCGGATTGGATCTGACCAATTTTACAAGTTAAATCCAGCTAGGGGAGTTAGAGCGGAAATGCTGAGCCCTTTTGCTGCTTTGCACTCCTCCAGGAATACCCTCTTAATGAACACTTTTAAAAATGCATCTAGAATTAAGTCCAGGAGCTCGGAGGCAAAAACACGACCAAACTGCTGGCGAAGCATTCTGGGGGTACTGTAGATCTACAGTGGCTCCCACTTTCCCCTCCACCCTAGATCTCCTAACCTATACTCTGATGAGTAGTTTAAAGAGCATGGGGTGCTAAATTGGGGAGACAGTCATCTCACATATTCTGCAAGAATATGAAAAACAAAAATGGAACTGTTGATACAGTTTTACGGAGGAATTATTGAGTCTGTCATTCGCACTTCTCTAACTGGTGCAGCCACCCAACAGGACAGGAACAGACAGCAACGGACAGGACAGGATTGCAGAAAGAACCAGCCCGTCTTCCATAGAAGACCTGTATATTGTGTGGGTCAGAAGGAGGGCTGAAAAAAAACCAACTGTAGACCCCTCACATCCTGGACATAAACTGTGTAACAAATAACAGAGTTGGAAGGGACCTTGGAGGTCTTCTAGTCCAACCTCCTGGTGAGGAGGGAAGCCTTATAGCATTTCAGACAAATGGTTGTCCAATCTCTTCTTTAAAACTTCCAGTGTTAGAGTATTCACAACTTCTGGAGGCAAGTTGTTCCACTGGTTAATTTTTCTAACTCTCAGAAAATTCCTCCTTAGTTTCAGGTTGAATCTCTCCTGGTTCAGTTTCGCCCCATTGCTTCTTGTCCTGCCCTCGGGTGCTTTGGAGAATAGCTTGACTCCCTCTTCTTTTAGGGCAGCCCCTGAGATATTGGAAGACTGCTTTCATGTCTCCCCAAGTCCTTCTCTTCATTAAACAAGACATAGCCAGTTCCTCCAAACATTCTTTATGTGTTTTAGCCTCCAGCCCCCTAATCCTCTTTGTTGCTCTTCTCTGGATACCTTATTCCCAGTGTGCTCTCACCAAATGTTATAAAGTGGCATTAACACTTCACGTGATCTTGATTCTCTCCCTCTGTTGATGCGGCCTAGGATCGTGTTGGCTTGTTTGGCAGCTGTAGCTCGTGGCTGGCTCATGTTAGGTGATTGTCCACTAGCACTCCAAGATCCTTCCACAATTACTACTATTGAGCCAGGTACCACCTATACCATACCTGTGCGCTTGGTTTTTCTTGCCTAAATGCAGAATCTTACTTTTTTCATCGCTGAATTTCATTTTGTTAGATAGCACCCAACGTTCAAGTCTGTCAAGATCCTTCTGTATCTTAAGCCCATCTTCTGGAGTGTTGCTATTCCTGCCAGCTTGGTGTCATCTGCAAATTTGATGAGTTTCCCCTTCTATCCCCTCATCCAAATCATTGATGAAGATGTTGAAGGGTATTGGGCTGAAAGACACAGCCTTGGGGTACCCCACTGCATACTCCCCTCCGTGGAGGTGCCGTTCCATTGCATAGTTCAACTAAACACGGGGACAGTTTTTTCTCCTTGTGCCATCAGTCTGCTGAACACATAATTTTCACAGTGCTGCCTAATGTCTAGGTATATTTATCCATGTAGTGTCTCTGTAGTATTATTATTTATCCTTCTTATTATCTTCTTTACTCCACCTTTGATTGGTGTTATTATTATGATTAGTTTGTCGCATAAGCTAGATGTTCAGACTGGATTTGGCATTTTTGTCTATCTATCAAGCCTTTTTCAAGGACCTGGGATAGGCAGATCTGGTTGTTTGATGGTGTTATAGATATCGTTGCAGGATAAAACCAAACCGCCTGTTGCAATTGACTGATGGTGAACTTGTCAGTGCCAATAGTGTTCAAGTGGCGTTCCAGTTCTTTTGGGATTGCATCCAAGGCGCCCATTATTATTCGGACTACCTTTGCTTGCTCAGTCTATTTCTATTTGCAAGTCTTTGGATGTTGTTATTTTCTTCAGTTCTTTCTCTTTTGTTTTCCTGCCTCCAGGTATTGCCACGCCCACTATCCAAACCTTTTTTTTTTTGTCTTTCTTATCAACAGTTGTTAAGTCTGGAGTGTTATGTGGCAGGTGCCTGTCTGTTTGAATTCTAAAGTCCTAGAGCAATTTAGCTTTAATGATTTATTTAAATAATTTGTTGTTGTTGCTGTTGTTGTTGCTTTGCATGTACACTGAGTGCAAATTCCTTGTGTGTCTAATCACAGTTGACCAAATAAAGTATTCACATTCATTTTCATGGCTTTGTTTCCAAGCGTTGAGTCAACGGCTTTCCCCCTTGTCTCTTCCAGGGGCAAAGGGCCACTGAAGAATACTTCTGATGTCATCAATGCCGCCAAGAAAATTGCAGAAGCCGGCTCCAGGATGGACAAACTGGCGCGGGCAGTGGCCGATCAGGTAATTTCAGAGCTGCTCTGGAGATGACCTTGAGCGGCGGAGCGAACCGTTCCTGCCCAACGTTAGGGTGGCGTGTCTGGAATTGTAATGTGTTCCTTTCTGGTCAAAGCAGCTTTCCTCAGCAAGGTGCTGTGCATATATAACAGGAAAAGAAACAAACAGAGAGAGAGAGAGAGAGTCCTGAATTTCACACTCAGGATGCTAATTGGCTTGGGTGCCTCTGAGAATTCTGGGAGTTATAGTTTTCATGGTACCTGGTTGGGGACGGGCCATGATTTTTTTTTTCACCTTATTAGGATCACATCAAGGAGAGTTGCACAGGTAGTCCTTGACTTACGACAACAATGGAGCCCAAGATTCCTGTTGCTAAACGAGAGAGTTGTTAAGTGAGCTTTGCCTCCTTTTACAACCTTTCTTGCCACAGTTGTTAAGTGAATCACAGCACTTGTTAAGTTAGTAATTAGATAGTAACATGGCTGTTAACTGGATTTCCCTGTTAAATTTGCTTGTCAAAAGGTCGCAAAAGGGGACCCCATGACCCAGAGACACTACAACCGCCATAAATGTGAACCAGTTGCCAAGTGGCCAGTATTGATCACATGTCCACGAGGATGCTGCAATGGTCATAAGTGTGAAAAACGGTCACCGGTCCTTTTTTTTAGTACCGTTGTAACTTCCATTAAACAAATGGTAGCAGGTCAAGGACTACCTGTGTTCCCATTCCTCCCGTTTTCTTTTGCAGTCTCCGGGGCGTCCTTTATCGCCCATAAGCCATGCCAGTGTTTTACATGCAACCCACTTTTAAGCAGCTATTTAAAAGGGAGAAGCTTTAAGCATCTGTGAAAACAGGCTTCAACTGTTCTGCCTGGAAGCCATTGCTGCAGGAAACGGCGCTGTTGCTAATTGAAGGAGAAGAGCATGGGGGGGTCACAGCCTGTTTTAAAGCAGCACAGTGGGTAGAGTTATTTAATTGCAGAGGCTTATGGAATACGTGGCATTTGTAGGATTGGTTCTGTGGGAGAAGCCATTTTTGCAGCACAGGGAGCCTGATTGGGGTGAGTTGAATCTGTGGCAGGGTTCAGTGAGTGAAGACCCATTGGCAGCTGGCTGATAGAATCAAATGTCCAGAAAGTGGATTTCAACTTCCAGAAGAGAAGGACCAGGGGAGACAGGAGAGCAGCCTTCCAATATTTGAGGGGCTGCCCCGGAGAGGAGGAGGGGGTCAAGCTATTTTTCAAGGCACCCGAAGGCCAGACAAGGAAGAATGGATGGAAGCTGAACAAGGAGAGATTCAACCTGGAAATAAGGAGAAACTTTCTGACAGGGAGAACAAACAGCCCATGGAACAGAAGTTGCCCTCGGAAGTTGTGGGAGCTTCAGCCCTGGAGGCTCTCAAGAAGAGACTGGACTGCCCTCTGTCAGAAATGGTGTAGGGTCTCCTGCTTGGGTGGGGGGTTGGACTAGATGACCTACAAGGTCCCTTCCAACTCTGTTAATATTCTGTTATTATTAACTCTGTTAATAATTTCCCTGTCTTCATAGCCATGGCTGAAGATTCTGGAAGTTGAAGTCCACAAGTCTTAAAGTGGCCAAGTTTGGAGACCCCTGCTCTGACTAATCCATTACAACTGTGTCTCCTGGCCCATTGTACACTTTACTCTTCCAGCTACTACAGTCAATATGCAACAACAGCTCCATCTTTAAAACATACCTTCCACGCCTGCTGCTATTTAATTGATCCTTTAAAAGTGAAACTGAGCAAGGAGAGGTTTCCACTCTGCCCTGTAGAGCCTCGGAAAGAATTCCTTGGTTGGTTTGGAGGAATATCCTCAAAAGTTCGCTTAAAAAATCCCCAAGCAAACCACAAAGAGACCCCATAACTACCGGTCTGATCTAAAATAAAAGCCGAACAGCTGCTCAGCCGAGCTGGGAGCACCAGCAGAACTTTTGAAAGCATCATTATTACTAGGTTTTTTTTTTAAAGTAGCTGAGGTTATTTGTCTTTCTCAGAGCCTCAAAACCGGGGAAATTTTATCGAAGTTTGGAGACCGCGGCGTTAGCTTATTATGGGCTGTTTCATTTTTAATCACAGCGCGAAAGAGAAAAAGAAAAAAAAAGAGAATTTTAATTTGCTCCTTCCATTTGAGGCTTTTGTCGTCTCTCTGGAGGATTTAATCTCAAAGTATATTTCAAATGCAGGATCTCTGGAGTGGAATAAATGTGAGGGTGCTAAATGGCAGCTAACTTTAAAAAAAAAAAAAAGACCTCTGGGATTTGGATTTGAAAGATGGGGCCACTTTGGGAAGAGAAAGGAAGAGACAATTTCCTGGCATTATCATATATATGGAAGGAGAGATTAGCCTTAACTACCCCAGGAAATTCTCAAGAGGGCTGGTTTAAGAGAAAAATAATAATATGCAGAATGTATGGTGGAGGCTGCCCGCCTGTATATTTTTTACTCACATTTTAATGGGTGCCTGAATTTTATTCTACCAAAGAGCCAAGAAATTTGTTACTAGTTTCTTCTAAGTTCTACGAAGAATGGTTGCAGAAACTGGGTATGTCTAACAAAGGGAAGGACTAGGGGTGACATGATAGCAGTCTTCCAGTATTTGGAAGTCACAGAGAAGAGGGGGTCAGCCTATTCTCCAAAGCACCAGAAAGCAGGACAAGAAACGATGGATGGAAATTAATCAAGGAGAGGAGAGTTAAGGAGAAATTTCTGAACGGTGAGCACAATTAACCAGTGGAACAGCTTGCCACCAGAAGTTACAGTGCTCCATCACTGGAGAGTTTGAAGAAGAGGTTGGGTCGCCATTTGTACAGAATGGTGTAGGGTCTCCTGCTTGGGGAGGGGGTTGGACTAGATGACCTCCAAGGTCTCTTCCAACTCTCTTATTCTGTAAAAGAAGGACTGGGGGTGACATGATAGCGGTCTTCCAGTGTTTGAGGGGCTGCCCCAGAGAAGAGGGGGAACAACCTCTTCTCCAAAGCATCAGAAGGCAGGAGAAGAAGCAACGGATGGAAACTAACCAAGGAAAGAAGCAACTTAGAACTAAGGAGGAATTTCCCGACAGGGAGAACGAGGACTCCGTGGAATGGTTTTCCTCCAGATGTTGAGGATTCTCCATCACTGGAGGTTTTCAAGAAGAGACTGGGCAGCCATTTGCCTAAAATGATACAGGGTCTCCTGCTTCAGCAGGGGGCTGGACTAGAAGACCTCTAAGGTCCCTGCCAACTCTGTTACCCTATATTCAGTTCTAAAAGCCCTTTACATCTCCTGCTGGAGATGAGGAAGAAACAGATGTGAAAATCTACAAAACTATTGTCAGTTGGGGCAAACAACCCTAAACAGGAACGACCAATGAATGTCATGAAGCATTTCCCCACCTTTTCCAGTTCTCTTCATCAGTAGTGGAGCCCATTCCTAGCCAGTTATTCTAGTCGTGTGATCAGAATTTGGCCGATTGGCAACTGGCACGTATTGAGTAGAGTAGGGGTGGGTTTGGACTGAAGCCCACCTGGCTTTATTTCACGTAGTTCTCCACTTCAGTTGGGAACCAGAATTTCCATAGCTAAGCAAGGCAGAAATGTGCAATGAATTGTTCCCGCCTTTATAACCTTCTTTTGCTGCGGTTGTCAAGAAAATTCATTAAAGGAATCTGGCTTCCCAAACTTTTTGCTTGTTGGAAGCCAGTTGGGAAGTTTGCAAACGGTGACTCCATAACCCTGCATTTATCATAAATTCATGTGAGTTGCCAAGCACCCAGATTTTCATCTGACTGACCGTTGTAAGTGCAAGGACTGGTGATAAGTCACTTTTTTCAGTGCTGTTGTAACTTCAAACAGTTGCTAAATGAATAGTTGTAAGTTGAGAACTACAAAACTAGGAATCTTCTACTTGACCCAGTACATTTTTCAGCTTGGAGAGTGGCATGAATTCTTTTCTCCCATTCTTCTTTCTTCAGCCCTCATTGTCTCCCTTTGTCTTAAACCAACCTTGAGCTAATTATGCTTCTGCATAGGAAGGCATGGCGTTTGGAGAGATGGCTTGCTGTTGCTTGCATGAAAAATGACTTCAGCTGCAAGGTTTCCTGGGAAGGAGCCGCCTCCTCTAAGATGTCATTAAAACAAGGCAGGCAAAGGCGTCAGGATTTGAATTTGATCCACACCCTTAACCCGTAGCTGCTACAGAAGGAACCTATATATGTTTTCTCTGTAATGTGAATTGCCTTGCAGATCACAGATAACAGATAATCAGAGTTGGAAGGGACCTTGTAGGTCATCTAGTCCAACCCCCTGCCCAAGTGGGAGACCCTACACCATTTCTGACAAATGGCAGTCCAGTCTCTTCTCGAAAGCCTCCAGGGACGAAGCTCCCACAACTTCCGAAGGCAACTTCTGTTCTATGGGTGGATTGTTCTCCCTTTCAGGAAATTCTTCCTTATTTCCCCCCTAATCCTCCTGGTTAGGGATAATCAAACACAGAATATCATATTATAATCCTTTCCATAGTAATTGCTCATAGCATATCATTACATTATTTTATCTTAACTATTATGTTTATATTATGTTATGTGATATTTCTCTAATTTCTTATCTAACCATTGATAAAATAAGGGAGCCTGTCGTGTCTAGTCGTGATCAGATTTTGGACACTTGGCAACTGGCATGTACTTATGACGGTTGCAGTGTTTCCCAAGGCTGACGTGATTCCCTTTAGCGACCTTCTGACAAGCAAAATCAATGGGGAAGCCAGATTCACTTAACAGCCCTGAGATTAACTTCAGTGATTCGCTGAACAACGGTGGCAAGAAAGGTCGTAAAATGGGGCAAAAGTCAAGAACTCTCTTGCTTATCAATATAAATTTTGGGTCTCCATTGTGGTCGTAGGTGAGGGCCACCTGTACTTTTCAGGGCAGACTCCATCACAACTGGTCTCAAGCCAAGGACTACCTGCGCAGCAGGACCTTCAGTCGTATCACCAGCCTTCCTCTCTCTTCGGCACCTGCCCCGTAAATTACGTTCCAAGTTTCTTCGGGGATCACAAACCCTTCAGAGAGTCCTGACTCCGTTGAGCTCAACTGAATTGCACCCGTGTCGCTTTGATTTGTAAGGCACGTCCAAAGACGCCACAAGTGCCGTTCCGCCAGTGGGACGTAAGAATGGCCGTTTCCTGGTTGCAGTTCGTTATGGCTGCTTTTCTGGGCTGGAAATCTCTCTCTTCCATGTGGTTTGTCCTCTACCATAAAAGATAGTATATTGTGCACTGGGAGAATTTTATGTGCGGTCTGAACCATATCCTAAGGAGACGGAAACAATATTTTTGCTGTCTGCTTTACAGTTCATTGGGTAAGTGACAAACGATAGTAGTGCTTCCTTTCTCTGTTTCTCTCTCTTTGGCCTTCCTGAGCTCCGAACCGTTTTATGCTGTGAAAGAAAAATTTATCGTTTCTTTTATTTGTGTAGTAGGGCTGTCCTACTATCATCTTTTTCATCTTCCCTGTTACCTTCCCCTATTGGTATCTTGTGATTATCTTACTGAGTTGTTTGCATGTACACTGAGAGCTTATGCCCCGGAGACAAGTTCCTTGTGTGTCCAATCACTCCTGGCCAATAAAGAATATTCACGAATGAAGGAAAATATACACCTGCCAGGATGATGCGAGATTGGATTTGGGTCCATTGGGGCCAGAGGTTTATTCTTCCGGGTTTGGGGACTCATGCTGGAGCCCATCTTCAGGGAATTTTCAATTTAATTCAAGTTAAATTCAGATGGCCACCCGCAACTCACTCATGTGACTCTATGTTGTGGTTTGCTGGCAGCAGGTGCAGAGGGCTGAAGTCTCAGAGAGTGAGGACCCAGACGAGGGGCCTGCATGTGATGCAGAGATGGGGCCAGGACTATCGGAGAGTGGGGTGCTGCCTTCGGAGGTTATGGAGTCTGGCAGCAGTGGCAAAAAGAGACCCGAGGACCCTGTGCTCAGTGCGCATGCACACACGGCTGCTCGAAGGAAACAGCAGGCTTAAGCAGCACGGGCAACTCGGGAGTAATGCTGGAAGGTGATGGCCCCTCCCATAAGGGATAAAAGCCAGCCTTCGGGGTTGGCTTCTTTGCAGGAAGCAATGAAGCTCTTTCTGCTCAGAATCCTCGTTGAAGCCCTGCTTACTCCCGTTTGTTTTTGGAAACTTCTGGCTTGGGATATTTATCTGCAATTAGTCTTTTGTTCCTGGCAGCCTTTCGCAACCTTGAAAGGGCCGGCTCTTCTCTGGGACAATGAGTTCTGAATGACTCTTGGCTGTGAATGCACAGAATTCACAGCACCACATTAAAAGGGTTTGCTTTTATACATACTTTGTGTTTGTTTGATTTGAACAAGGCTTGGGTCAGAACACTCCAGGTGCCTTATTGCCCCAATACAAAAATATCCAAGAACTCCAATATAAAAACCAATAAACCCCCCCACTCCCCCATGGCAGCCATCAGACTACTGGATGGGCTCCGTACCACCCCGAGGTCCCAAGACCCCTCGGTCACACCAGGTCTTCAGGGCCTTGAGAAAGTGTGTCAAAGTGGGAGTCAAACGCATCTCTGCAGGGATGAGGTTCCACAGGGAGGGAGCCCCCCCCAGAGAGGGCCCTTCTCCTTCGCCCTGCCAGGTGAACCTCCTTTAAAAAGGGGGACTCATAGGATCCTTGGCTCCCCTGCTCTGGCGGGTCAAGTAGAGGTGACTTGAAAGAGGCCATCCTTCGAGTAGCCTGGCCCCAGGCCACGGAGGGCTGTGAAGGGAGCACTCGCCACCTTGACTTGGACCTGCATGTAAACAGGCAGCCAATGCAACTCCCGCAAGAGAGGTGACACACGTGCAAATCTAGGCTTTCACAAAAGCATGCAGGCTACCCATTTGGAAGCTTCCGGATTTCTTTCCAAGGGCAGCCCCTTGTACACTGCATTGCAGTAGCCAAGATCTGTCACGGTGATGGTGATGATGTCATCCATTCAGTCAAGTGCTGCTCTTGGCAATGCTGTGGGCCAGGTCTCCCCACGTCTTCTGATCTTGTGGTTCTTTCTTTGAGCTTTTCTGTGCTGTGGCTGGTATCCGGCCACCATGTTCCTTGATGGCCTGGTTTCCCTTTACTGCTAACTCTTCCCAGAATAATTGCTTTCTCCAGGGACTATGGAGTTTCTCAGCCATCCAGCTCATGGTTGTCTCAAAGGTGTTTTTTTCAAGGGGCAGCTGGACTTTTATTGTTTTTTCCTTGAAGACCTTTCACTTTTCATCCAAGAAGCTTCATCGGTTCTGACAACAGCAATAGCACTTAGATTTATATAGCGATTCACTGTGCTTTGCAGCCCCCTCTAAGCGGTTTACAATGTCAGCCTCTTTCCCCCAACAATCTGGGTCCTCAGATTACCGACCTCAGAAGGATGAGTCAGGGTTGTCAGGATCAAACTCCAGACTGTGGGCAGAGTCAGGCTGCAATACGGCATTCTAACCGCTGCGCCGCCACGGCTCAGGACGTGAATGAACAATGAACCGATGAAGCTTGAACGAGAAGTGAAAGTTCTTCAAGGAAAGAAACGAAAAAGCCCCTCCGAGACTTCCTCCAGCGAATTCCCCCACGTGAGAGGGCCAAAGTGAGAGAGAGAAGATCTGGTGGTCTGTGTGAAACCAGCCACCCAACAACCGAGCGAGGGTTGCGGTATCCACCCTCAAAGTGGCTGAGCTTTCTCTGCCCATTCAGCATCTCAGTAGCCATGAATTAAACTTTAAGTTGCTTCTCTCTCTCTCTCTTCCTTTGCAGTGTCCCGATTCGGCCTGTAAGCAAGACCTGCTCGCCTACCTTCAGCGCATCGCCCTTTACTGTCACCAGCTGAATATCTGCAGCAAGGTCAAAGCAGAAGTCCAAAACCTTGGCGGAGAACTGATTGTTTCTGGGGTAAGACGTCCCTGTATTTTCCTGTTCTAGAGTGTCTTGATTTCCCTCCCCTCCCTCCTTTTGGAAAATTTATACATCTTCCCCTTTGAAAAGCCACATTATTCCAGTCTGATGAAATGACCGGAGACTTCACTGCGGTGTCATCCATCCAAAGAGCTTCTGCTCTTCACGCCCATTAAAAACATAATAAAGTGAGATATTAAATCCATTATTAATAGGAGCTCGGTTTTATATTTAGCAAGGTTGGGCAGCCAGATGGGCTTTTTTCCTTCCCTGAGGGTGGGAAAGCTCCCCTTTCTCTACACGCTTCCCCCCATCTAAAGTGAGACGCCCTGAAGCTCCTTGGTGCAGGTGAACCTCCTCAGCAGGAACATTCCATTCCCCTTCCTCGAAGGGGGGAGACGATAAATGTAGAGGGACTTGTGGACTTCAAGTCCCAGAATTCCTCAACCAGCCGTGTCTTTGCTAGCTGGGGAATTCTGGGAGTTGAAGCCCACATGTCTTAACGTGGCCAAGGTTGGAGACCACATGCAGAGGACACACATGTACGCAAGTTCTTTGAGGGGCCGAGACATCACCAAGGGCCTGATTTCTTTTTCAAGCAAAGTAACTAATAAAACTTATAATCCTTTCTCCAAAAGAAATGTTCTCACTTAAAAAAACATGGCCCGGCCATAGACATTATGCAGGTAGTCCTTGACTTAACAACCACAATTGAGCCCCAAATTTATGTTGCTAAGTGAGACGTTTGTTAAGTGGGACTTTTTTGCTCCAATTTACAACCTTTCTAGCCACAGTTATTAAGTGAATCATTGCAGTTGTTAAGTTAGTCAGACGGTTGGGAAGTGAATCTGGCTTCCCCCGTTGACTTTGCTTGTCAGAAGGTCGCAAAAGGGGATCACGTGACCCCTGGACACAGTGACCGTCATAACTACAAGTCAGTGGCCAAGCATCTGAATTTTGATCATGTGACCCTGGGGAGGCTGCAACCGTTGTAAGTGTGGAAAATGGTCACAAGTCGTTTTTTTCACTGGTCATTGTAACTTTAAACGAATGGTTGTAGATCAAGGACAACATATAGGTAGGGAGGGAGGGAGGGAGAGAAAGAGAGAGAGAGAGATTGATATATAGATATAGATAGGTAGATTAGATAGATACATAGATAGATAGAGATAGAGATAGAGATAGATTGATATATAGATATAGGTAGGTAGGTAGGTAGATAGATACATAGATACATAGATACATAGATACATAGATACATAGACAGATATAGAGATAAATAGATTGATATAGATAGATTGATATATAGATATAGATAGGGAGGGAGGGAGGGAGAGAGATTGATATATAGATATAGATAGGTAGATATAGATAGGTAGGTAGGTAGGTAGGTAGAGATAGATATAGAGATAGATAGATTGATATATAGATATATAGATATAGGTAGATAGATAGATAGATAGATAGATAGATAGATAGATAGATAGATAGATAGATACATAGATAGATAATTGATATATAGATATAGATAGGTAGGGAGAGAGAGAGAGAGAGAGAGAGAGATTGACATATAGACGGGGTGGGATTCTACCAGTTTGCACCTATTCGCTAGAACTGGTTGTTAACATTCTAAGCAGTTCGGACAATCGGTTGTTAGAAGAAATGACTGGGCCAATCCTGTAAGGAAGGCAGGAAGGAAACATTCTGGTGTTGCTTACAGAAACTGCCTCTCCGCTAACCCTTATTACATTCTTGGCAGGACTAGACTTCCTGTCTCAGGAACTTCTCTGGAGTTTTTTTCCCCTCCTTTGCTGTTACTTTGCTTGTGTGGGGTGACCATTCAAAGTTACAATGGCACTGAAAAAAGTGACTTATGACCATTTTTCACACTTAGGACTGTTGCAGCATCCCCAAAGCCATGAGAGGCCAGGCGAGGAGATGCGTGCCTCGATATGAGTGATGTTGAGTTGGCCACACTCAGCCAATAACATGACCACCAAGCCATGTCCACCCAGTCACATGACCACCAAGCCACGCCTACCACCTAAGCCACGCCCACAGAACCGGTTGTTAAAATTTTTGAATCCCACCCCTACATATAGATATATAGATAGAATCATGATTATTTGGCTTCTCTGGGCTTAATAGCAATGCCTGATTTTTGTCCGGGTAGGGAAGTTTGTCAAATTGCCCATCATCTAGTGACCCACCCTTGGACCAAACAGTGGGCTAAATTTAACACTCAGCCATCCAGCCAGGCTGTGGAGGGCAGGGGCTCTTTTGAATTCACCTGCTGCATCCAGAATTCACTTTGCTGGCCTGGCATAAAAGCTTTTGCCACCTAGCATTTCCTGAGCAGTTGGCCTCATCCCATTGCAGTTAAAGGTTATTCTCCTCTTAGCCTCCAATTTTTTAAAACTACAGACAGTCCTTGACTTACAGCAGTTCATTTAGTGTCTGTTCAAAGTTACAGTCGCCCTAGACTTATTATTGCTTTTCACCTGTGTGACTGTGGCAGCATCCCGCTGGTCGCAGGATCAAAATCCAGGGGCTTGGGCTCACATGATCCCCTTTTGCCACCTCCTGACCAGCAAAATCAGATTCAATTAACAATAGTGTCACTCACTTAACAACTGCAGTGTTTCACTTAACAATGGTGGCAAAAAAGGTCATAAAATGGGGCAATGTCTCATTCAGCCAAAGAAAATTTGGGTCATAAATTGTGGTCGTAAGTCAGGACTGCCTGTCTATGGTTCCAGGCCTCTGCCCACAGAGACACAGAAAAACAGCCACGTCCACCTTCCCAGGGGCTGGGATGGACCCGTCCAATGCAGCTGGACAGCCGCTCAGAACAAAGGCTTATTTCTGCCTGGGGGGCCTTGTGGGGAGAGGGTCCCCCGGATCCTGCCACGTTCTTGCCCTCTGGGCCCAATCGCGCCCATTGAAGATGTTCCAGGGGTGGAAACGAGTCTCCTTGGTCCTCCCATCTCTCCCTAGGACAGACCAGGGTCCTCCTTTGACTTGCTGACATGGCTGGACCTGCTTCCATTCTCATGGGTTTTGACCACGCCCGCCTCCTTTTGATCCGCCCCTCAATCCCGCTAACGCATCGGCTTGGCTGCTGAGCTTCAATCTCATTTCTGTCCTTTTCCCCCTTCTGTCTTCTGTAGAAGCCATCTTGGACACATGCTCGAATAGCTTGTGTGTGTTGTTGGCTTGCCATTACATGCAGCGAAACTCAAAACTTCTTCATTCCCTGTGTGGTGGTCTTCACCCCCATCATCTTTCTGCTTTTTCTTCATTAAGCCATCCGCTGAAGCAGTGCTACCATCAACTTGCAGATAATTGGCATTGTGTGTTGTAAACCTAAAGTCGCATTCAGAGAAGACTCCCAGCAATGTCTTCTCTTGATCTTTCTGGTGTTGGTGTAGGCTTTTCCCTTCACAATGCCTTCCTAGCAATTGTGATGTTGTTGTATTATATCAAAGAACTGGATACTGTATGCTTCAAGACTATCCAATGATATGGATTCCAGCTTCACTTCATCTGTAGCTTCCTGGCTTATTTTTATGCTGTCATCTTGTTCATCCATTCTCTCTTGGATAGCCAGTTGCAAATAAAAACTTTGGTTTTATTTGCATCAAATAAAAAGCAGACTTTGCATACAGTACGATGGTCATGGTTTCCTTCAAAAATGATTGACAGTTGGAAAGCTTATATATTCACTTTTGGGATTCCAGCTTCTACCCCTGGACTCGATGAGATAAGGTACACGCTCGCTGGTGAAAACTAATATGTGTGCATATTATCTGATGATTCTGTAATGAAAGTATCTATAGATTATTTGATATTTGCAGTGTTCCTTAAAGTATTGAACTTAGCAATGTGGGTTTGATGCAAAGCAATATTTTCTTGCCATTTGTTCAGGATTTTGTTAAGTGTTAAGTATCTTAACAATATTGCATCCAGCATTGGTTGCCATGATGTAAAAAAAGATGTTGAGACTCTAGAAAGAGTGAAGAGAAGAGCAACAAAGATTATTAGGGGACTAAAGACTAAAACATATCAAGAACCATTACAGAAATATACCAGTATACCTAGTTTAATGTAGAGGATGACTCGGGGTGACATGACAGCTGTCTTCCAATATCTCAGGGGCTGCCAGAAACAAGAGGGGGTCAAGCTATTCTCCAAAGCGCCAGAAGGCAGGACAAGAAGCCATGGGGGGAAACAGACCAAGGAGACAACCAGCTTAGAACTAAGGAGAAATTTTCTGTAGGTGAGGACAATCACTGGAATGACTTACCTGCAGAAGTTGTGGGTGCTCCAACACTGGAGATTTTAAAGAAGAGATTGGATAACCATTTGTCTGAAATAGTATAGGGTTTCCTGCTTGAGCAGGGGGCCGGACTAGAAGACCTCCAAGGTCCCTTCCAACTTTGTTATTCTGTTCTATCTTCTGTACCTGTTAGATAGAAACATGGTCTTTCCTGCCATTTTCTTCAGCAAACAATCCTCAAGGCTAAACTGTATTGAGGCGCCTCAATAATTCAGAACCAAGTGGGATTCAGTAGGTTTGGTGATATGTATTTGTGACTGAAATTACATGTATACATTTGTTTGGCGTGTACTGTTTGGCAATGCTGCATCTACTTTTCATCACCATGGTACAAAAAAGATGTTGAGAGGCCAGAAAGTATGCCAAAAAGAGCAATAAAGATGATAGGGCTGAAGGCTAAATTGTACCATGAACGGTTGAGGGAACTAGATATGTGGAGGCTATTGAAGAGAAGGACTAGGGATAGCAGGATACCTGCCTTCCCGTCCTTGAGAGACTATCACAGAGAAGAGAGGGCAGGCTTAACTCTGCAAAGCACCTGAGGGTAGAGCAAGAAGCTTGTTAAAGAGAGACGCAACCTAGAACCATGGAGAAATTTCTCAACAATGAATACAATTGATCACTTAAATGGCTTGACTTCAGAAGTTATGGAGGTTTT